ATCTACTGCTTTTATTTTTAGATCCATTTAATGAGGTGGTTTTGTCTTTTAGGTGCAGAGGTGACCCTTACAGACCTGCCTCTGGTTCTGCCACAGCTTCAGGAAAATGTCTCTGCCAACGTCCCCGCCGACGGCTGGCCCTCTACGCCTCCCGCCGTTCTCCCTCTGTGTTGGGGGGAGGACCACCTCTCCTTCCTCCCTGACTGGGATCTGGTGCTCTGCGCTGACATCATCTACCTCCCAGAGACCTACCCGCTGCTGGTGGAGACGCTGGCGCATTTATGCCAGAACGGAGCCGTGGCGTATCTGTCCTCCAAAATGCGCAGAGAGCACGGGACTCAGAGTTTCTTTGAGGAGCATCTGCCGGCCAGGTTGACGGTGGAGCTGGTGCACCGCGACGAGAAGCAAAATAACAACATCTACAGGGCGGCTAAGAGAGCAGAGCACTAAAGGGAGCGGCAGCTTTCTGACTGACTGCATGAAGCAAAGGGTCGGTTTATAGGAAAAGAATGAAAATATATTTATACATCATCTGCTGAGTATTTAAAGGAGGGAATGTTTACAAAAAATAAATCAACCATTATTTGTTTTTAAAACTGATACTAATAATTTGGACTTGAGTCCAACTGATCCCTGATTTGTGCTGCTGAGGTTTATAGCCATGTTGCTTTTTCTGTCACAGTTTAAAGATAAAAAAGAGAGCGAATAAAGCACGGCTGAAGGCATGTTTTGGCCGATGCTGTTGCAGCAAACGTTGACTTATTTGCTTGTTACTGCAAATAAGCCTCAACCATACAGAAAATAAGCTTTTCTTAGTTCCTTGACATTGTGTGTGACGTTTGTTTCATTATTGTTTGAGGCAAAGAAGACTTTTTGTAAATGGAATCCAGAAAATAAACTTTGAAAAACTTCTCAATTTAAAAAAAGGTTTTGTGGACTTTTTTTTTGTCAGATTTTATTTATTTAATAATTTCATTTCCCCCCCCTTTATATTTAAATTTTTCCTAAAAAAAAAAAAAGTAACATTTTCTTTTTTTTTAATCCTCCTTTTTTCAGATTTTATCGTACGACTGTCATTCTTTTAAATTTGACTTTTCCAGATAACATGTTCTTTGCTCTGCTTTACTCTGAGGAGCGAAGACATTTCTATTGGTTTGTACAAAGATCAAAAACAACATAATGTCAAAGGAAAAAAGCAACTGAACAAATAGAATTTAAAGATATAGAACCTGTAAAAATCTTTGGAAAAACTTAAAATTTGAAAAAGAAAATAGTAATTTGAAGGCCATAAGTTGTGAGAAAACAGATTCCTGTCCTTCATGACATGGGGCCTTTTCCAGAGCATTTCCAGACTCTGGATTCTCTCCATTAAGCCAACAAGAACCCTGCAGCTCCTAATTACTGAATCCTTATTTTCATTTTTTAAGCCTTTTTCAGTCACTTGCATGCATACTAATTCTTTTTTTTTTTTTTTTTGTCCAGCTCCCATTTCCTGTTTTTGCATTTGAAAGCTACTTATAACTTTCCTTTGATCCAAAGATGTATAAAATGTGCCATTTTTTAAATTGGTTTCTTATTCTGGACGCTTGTCCAGGGGAGGAATAGCAGTAATGTCTACATTGGTCCTCCTCCCAGCTGTTCCTCAGTGAGGACGCTCTGCTCTGAATGCTCCTCAGCCTGAGGGATGGAGGACATGCAGTTGATTTAGAGACCTTCTTTGTACAGGACGCCTGTTTCCTGCACCTGGAAGTAAAGATGTTAATGATTGTGCATAAACTGCATCCCACACTCCTCTGTGCAGCCTGTATCACCCTCTGCAGCACGTTCTTGTCTGCTGCCATGCCGCACATTGATGCAGGAGCAGAAGAAGATTCTCTTCCATGCATCTTCTAACATGATCATGATTGAGCTCCCCATTCTGTCCTTCATCCTCCTGAGGGAAACGCTGGCTCTGCTTCGTTTTTGAAGGATATATCCAGGTTAAATCTGTCATCAGCAGCTCTACCTCCCTCTGGTATTAATATTTAGGCCTGACTGGGGGTCTGATTGAAAGAGCCCTGCTCTAAGGAGAGGGTTTACAATTTTCTGTTAATCCTTCAGTTTTAAGACTTGGCAATTGTTTATGAAGCTCCACATTTCATGATTCCATAGTAGGAGACATTTTTCCTTTCCTGTGTTTATCGTCACTAGGGGGCGTATGTCATTTTGAGTTCTGATTGTCTGATGGGGGATGGGGTCATTTAAGGTCAACCATGATTCTGTTTAGGTGCTGTTTATGAGAGGAGGCATCAGTTTTCTATTGTGTTTGCCTTAGATTAATGTCAAATTTATGCGTTCGTGTAAATGCAATTACTAAAACTACGGACATTGTTCTGTTAATAAATTACTTTATTATAAGTCAAAGTAAAGATCGGCATGATAATCTTAATTGAGCGCATGTAAAACCAACGCATTTCAGGAATAACCACCAGTAGCCTAAATTATAGGGTTTTAGCCGCTACAGCCATGTTCTCTAAGAAGATTGTTTTATGGAAATAGAACCTCATAATGTATATGTATTAAATTACTATGAGACATGACAACAGATTTAGACAGAAATTGTAATCTTACTCCGATCATAGAAGCTGCTTAGAGTTACAGAAGGCAGAGCTCATTGGATTGGGCCAAAATCACAGTTAATGAAGCATTTTATACAACTCCAGTCTGCCTCAGCATCACATCATTACATCATACAAGTTAGCAGATGATGCGACATCCATGGCTCCAGCCTTATCACAATATTACACTTTGTTCTTAGCTGAAGGATGCCGCTCTAATTCCATTCCCAAATCTATGCCATTTGCATAATGAAGCATATCACTGTATAGCCAGACAGAGGAACTGTCCTAATGAGATGCACTACTTCTGTTCTGACACATAACAGGCAGATATTATTAGGGATTAACAGACTCCCACATCATCAATAAGGATAATCCTAACTCTTTCATGGGTCTATCAAAGAGGAACAGACCCACAGCATTATACATCCTCCACTGTACTCAACAGTGGGTGCATCCAGCCAAACATCAAGTATTTGTTTCTGAATATCAACATGTGATCAAAGCACATTGCTGCAGTAGAGTTTTGGGAATGCTTTTATCTAGACTAAAATGGATTATAGAGAGTGAGAGAATAGTGGAGATGGAAGCACAGAATGGGTGCTAAGGTAAGAAAAGATGCTGCTGACTCCAACATGTTTAAAAACTGCTTCTTTATTGCAGTGCTCTTATTTAATGGTCTTTATCACTGCAAAGGTGTTCTGAAATTGAGTAAAGATTTCTTAAAATAAGTGTATTTACCCTTAATTTGAGTAGGAAAAATAAGATTAATAAAGATAATAATTATCTGCCAATGGAATGAGCATTTTTACCATTAAAATAAGATAATTAGTTTTTATTATGCATTTCAAATAAGAGACTGCAGTTGTTTTTTTCTTATTTTGAATGTAAATTTTCTTGTTCCATTGGCAAAGTAGCTCAATTATCTGCTCAATTCAAGAGAAAAAATCACTTATTTTAAGACAAATTGACACTGCTTTTTGCAGTGTAGAGACCTGCACTGGAAAAACAATCTAGAAATAAGTTGAAATTTCCTAAATTAATTCCGTAAAAGTAAAAAAAATATATAAAAATCCACTAGACTTGGTTTTGAAGATTTGAAGACGTTTTGCCACCTCTTCCTGGAGAGGTGGCGAAACGTCTTCAAATCTTGAAAACCAAGTCCAGTGGATTTTTTTTTTTACTTTTACCGAATGTCTATGACCTGGATGACTGAGAATCATCATCAGCATTTTCCTAAATTAAGTTTTTTTACCCTCAATTTGAGTAGGTAAATTAGATAGTTTGCCAATGGAATGACTATTTCTACTCTTAAAATAAGACAATTAGATAATATGCATTTGAAAAAAGACAATGCAATTGTGTTTTCTTATTTAAAGTGGAAGTTGTCTTGCTCCATTGGTAAAAAGTCTATTTTACCTCCTCAATCTAAGAACAAATGCACTTATTTTAAAGGAATAG